ACAGCCCAAAGCCTTGGGACCCTGTGCCTGTGTGGGAGACCTGGAAGAGACTCTAGGCTACTGGCTTCAGATGAGCTCAGCTCCAGCTGTTGCAGCCACTTGGGAGTGAATCAATGGACGGAAGATCTTCTCTGTCTCTGCTTCTCTCTGTGTATCCAATAAAAATAAGGGAAAATCTTTTTTAAAAATTAAAAATACTACTTCACCCCACAAAAAAAATAAAAAGATAAACGTTTTTACGCTAAAATGTTAGGGACCGAAGACTGCAGATTAAGGTGTGAACGCTCCTGCATAAGAAGTGACAGTAAGGAGAAAGCATGCACACCCCAGAGGCGACAGCACAGAAGTCCGAACTGACCCACTTCTCCATGTCTCTACTCAGACTGGCTACACACACTTGTCCTGGCGCCAGGTGCTTCTCATGCTCAAAGCCAAGTGCTAGCTCAACAAACTGCTCATTCCAGGGCAATCCAAACCCACAGCCACTCCGCCCTTTGTCTGTCTGCAGCTAGGTAAACTATTCCCTATGCTTTATTCTTGAGTCTCTCACACCTCCTTAAATTGACCCTCACATGACACTCATGGCCACTCAGGCATTACATACATAGTTGATCCTCTTGGCCCAACCCAAGCCTCTCAAACCCAAAGCCCTCCATGGTGAAGGAACACTAAAACCAAGGTCAAGAGTCCTAGAAGTGCAGCTATGTCGTCAGTGTGGCACAGTCCCTGGCGAGGCGCACCCAGCACAGGGGAGCTCAAAACCGACTGGAGGAATGAAATCCATGCCTGGTACTAACGCAGAGAGCACGTACACAGGGCTTAGTTTCACATTCACATCTAAAATGTGTAAGAAACTTACATGTTTGTTTCAGAAACTAAATGTCTACAAAGGGAAGACTAGAGCCTCTGCCCTAGAAGGCTAACTAGAGGAGGAAACTGGGAAAGAAAGGCTGACAACGTGACCAGCACCAAGAAACACCTACATGTCGACTATTAACGCTTTCCTGGAAAACACGGTATGTGCCTGCACTTCAACGTACCGCAAACATGGACTAATGGGAAAACAAATTAGGCGAGTATAAGAAAGGACAAGCATTCAATTTCCAAATGACCCAAATGGACTTGGAGCTCATGTGTTTTCTGCTGTTGATGCCAAAGCATGGCAGATGACGCGCTTGCTGAATTTGCCTCCGTCCCCCATGACCTAACAAGGAAGGCATTCATCGGACCCCGGCCGCTTCACCCGGTGTCTGCTTCTACACAGCTGCAAGTTCTGCAAGATAACACCAAATGATGTCTCTACAGATAAAGCTCCCCAGCAAACATTAAAACAAGGTTAAAACTTACCAAGAATATCAAAGCTGCACAAGTTAAACTGGCTGACCACTAATTAAGTTTAGGAAATGATAAAGCAAAAATATTCATGAAATTTAAATTCTAAGCATATTATGTTAATAATGATCCAGTAAACATACTTTAAAGGACGATTTAGTTTCTTTTAATGTTGCAAATGAATAACAAAATGTCTTAAAATACTCAGCCAAATCTCAAATAAACTTCCATAAAACCATTTACAAAAAGTAAAAGCTGCTTCTTAGACCCAAAACTGCAAAGCGTGGGTGAAACACACTGTCAAAAGCAGAAACAGACTGCAGGAATGTTTTGTAAGAGTTATGGCTTCTTAAATATCTACACAAAGTGACACATAGCTGGCTTTTCTTAATACCTGCCATTGCTCCCGGTCACATCAGAACACACTTATTCTCCACCTAGTAACTCATTTTCTACCTTTGGCTGCTAAGCCAAACAGAGAAGAAAGATGCATTTCCAAAGCGTGCTTATTTTAATGTCACCTGTAGGTCTGTCGTCAGCCCACATTAAGGCTGACCTTCATAACTTTCCATTCATATCCATAGTTATCCACACAAGGCCAGGCAGCTTGAGTCAGAAAGGCTGCTGCTTGGGAAAGACACGCTCATGTCTCTTTGTACTTCCTTCAATTTATTTATTTATTGGAAAAAAATGTGAGATTCTTTAAGATTTATTTATGTTTACTGGAAAGTCCAATATACCGAGAGGAGGAGAAACAGAGAAAGATACTCCAGCCACTGATTCACTTCCCAAGTGGCTGCAACAGCCGGAGCCAATCCGATCCGAAGCCAGGAGCCAGGAGCTTCTTCAGGGTCTCCCACGTGGGTGCAGGGTCCCAAGGCTTTGGGCTGTCCTCGACTGCTGTCCCAGGCTCCAAACAGGGAGCTAGATTGAAGCGGAGCAGCCGGGATTAGAACAGGCGCTCGGATGGGATCCCGGCCCATGCAAGGCCACTAGGCCTCCACGTCCAGGCCCAATTCCTTCAATTTCATTACACCCTCTCTCACCAACATGCTTTGGTCGTGAACAGAATTAAAGCCTCCCACGGAGCAGCTGCTGGGCATGCTGACACTGCACCATGTAGCAGAGCTCCGGGTCTGAGTCCTGGCTCTGCCTTGGATCCAGATTCCTGCCAGCATGCACTCAGAGGCAGCCGGGGATGGCCTGTAGATGGGATCCGCGCAGTCTTCCTGGGCAGCCAGACCGAGGGCCTGACTCAGCCTGGCTGCTGTGCGCTCAGCTCCCACAGTCAAGACAAACAAGAGAGACCCACACCCACCTGCAGGACCAGTGCCCATTCTCATTCAGGACCCGATTTTCACTCAGCTACCTACCAGCCTTTGACCAGTCAAGGGGTCATATTATAACTTCAGCACCTTCACACAACACTGTCATCACACAATTCATGACTTTTGTTAAAGATTTATTTTAGTTATTTGAAAGCCAAAGTAACAGAGAGATCAAGGTCTTCATTCACATATTCATCTCACATGCCCACAATATCCAAGTCCGGGCCAGACTGAAGCCAGGAGCCAGGCAGTCTGCTGGGTCTCCCACAGCTTTCGGCCACCATCCGCTGCTTCCCAGCTGCATCAGCAGGGAGCTGGATGAGAAGCAGGGCAGCAGGGAATCAAAGCCGCACTCCGACACGGGATCCAGATGCACAGGGAGCAGCTGAACCCACTGCACCACAATGGCTACATCACAATCCTTAATCCTTCAAAGGACTGAAAACAAAGAGCGCTTAGCAGTACAAACAATGCTACTGAATCCTAATGTGTGGTGAGAAAATAGACAATTTACAGGAAAGCTTTATCTTGTGAACCTCCAGTCAATTCCAATAGACGAGGTAAATTTTAGCTTTCACTTCCTGCATTAATGAGAATGAGCACTGTCTAACTTTCACCTTCAATTTGCTGCAAAATCAACAGACACACCTTATCAATCATCTTTCAAGATCAAACAGAGAGCAGGAAGTATTGACCAAAAAATTATAAAACTACACACACACAGAAAAAACATACAATTCAAGGTCAGCCAGGAAGGAATGAGGACTCTAGCCCAAGCTTCCTGCCGAAGACACCAATTGTAGTCACGCTTCCACTTTAAACCAGCTCGTTTTAAAAACATGTACTTAAGAGGCAGAGAGAGCCGCCATCCGTGGATTTACTCCTCTAACCTGCAACAGTTGGAGCTGGGACTGAGCCAGGCCAAAACACCAAACGGGACCTCAACCCAGGCTCCCCAACAGCTGCAGAACCCGGTTAGGTGTCTTCAGTCCTGCCTCCCAGGTCGCCCACCAACAGGAAGCTGCAGCCAGAGGCAGAGCCCAGGATCCACCAGGCACCCCATGGCGCACCAGGCTGGCCATCCTAATCAGCTGCCTTGGAGCCAGATTCTATTTCCGTGACTGTACAGGAAGGAGGAAATGATGAACACACTGATACACGGGGACATCGGAGGAGGGTCAGTGTGCAAGGAGACCAGCTCAGCTTCCAGTTACACCTCTTGAAGCGACGGAAGAAAAACAATACAGCTAGATCCCTTTTTAAGCAAATTCTCTAATTTCATATTCAAAAGAAGCACAGACAAAATTTCAGTGACCTGCTCAGACAAGCAGTTTTGTAAGTATGCTATTACACAAAGCCACAGCTCAATCTCTGTAAGAAAGCAAGGTGGAAAAGGCGGGTGCTGAGCTGGGCTCCAAAAATCCCTCAATTACCCACAGCAGTAAGGCTGGGGCAGGCAGCACTTGGGTGGATTAAATCCTCACACAATTATTACTTAAGAAGGTTGCATTAATTAGCACAACACTTCTACAACACAAAATATTCTTTCAAATAAACACACGAAGCCATCAGGGAAAGCGCTGGAAGCGCGGTCAAGGTCCTGCGTGACACACCCAGATCCCATGGGAGTGAAGGGCGCCAAGCCCCCAGACCCTTGCCACTCCCCACTTCAGCTTCCTGCTAACAGCACCTGGCAGGCCCTGCATCCCTGCCACCCCACGGCTGGCCCAGTCCTGCCTGCTACCGGCATCTGGAGACTAAACCAGGGGATGGAAGGTTTCTGCCTGCCTCTGTCTTTCAAATAAAATGGAAATAACTTTTTTTCTTATTTTAAAAACAAAGTAATTTTTTTTAAAAAATCCCTCTTCCTCGTCATTCTTTAACAAGAATAATAAGCCGATCGGCATTACACAGCAAAAAGAAGGCAAACCGAATTATCAACACTCCAATTGGTTTTTTTTTTTTCTTAGCAAATGTGATCACATCCCCACCCAGCCACTCTCCCCTCCACGAAAAAAAAAAAAAACCCAGAAACCCCTTACCGTGATTTACATTTTCCTGAATCCAATGCCCGAACCTTGCTGACAACGCTTGTTGGAAACGAAGTTCAAGAACTTGACAACCATCGTGTTCTAACTGTGAAACGCCGACATCAAACAAGTTTCGTTTCAAACCCGCAGCGATTCCAGGAAGATGGACACAAAACGCCCCTTCCTTCTGCACCCTTGAGGGTCCTCCAGGCCCTTTGGCGCGCCAAGGTCCGCGCCCGGGGCCCGTTGTGGCGTCACCGCCCACCTCCCGGCCGCTCGTGACGTCACAGTCCCGCGGACTCGCCGCGCTATGACCTCATCGCCCACAAGGCCCAGCCGCGGTCGCCCTGCGCCTCCGTCCCGCCCGGTCCCCGAGGAAGGCGAGGGAAGGGCAAGCGCCAGCTCACCTGGTCCAGGGACGGGCAAGGAGCGGCGCGGCGCGACCCCACCCGGAGCCCGGCTTCCCCGCGGGACGCCGCGCCGGTGCCCGCGCACGGCCTATCCGCGATCTCCTCGGGGCCAACCCGGCCCCGGTCCGCGCTCCCGGCCGACGCGGTGGCCCGCGGGCGGGCAGCCGAGGGCCGCCCGGGAGGAGGTGCGGGCCGGCCGGCTCCGGGCTCCGGGCCCCGGGACGCGCCGCGGCCAGCTCGGGGCCAGCCCGGGACCCGCGGGCCGCGTCCCCGCCCCCACCGCCCCCGGAGCGGCCACGGTGGCCACTGCCGGCCCCCGACCGCGCTGCCCTTCGCGCCGCGCCCCGGCCCGGCCCCGACCCACCTGCGCTCCTGCCCCGGCCGGGGCCGCAGCAGCCCGAGGCGGCGGCGGGAGGCCTGGCTCGCTCCCCTCCGCTGAGGCGGACAGAGCGCCCAGCGCGGCGCGGCGGAGCCCAACGCTCGCCCCGAAACTCATTTGTTTGGCTGGAACGCCGTGACGTCACGCGCCGGCCCAATCGACGGTTGGCCGGGGGCGGAGCCGGGGAGCCGCCGGCACGGCGCCCCCTGCCGGGCGCTGGGAGCAGCACGCGGGGAAGGGGAAAAGAGAACCCGGCCTCCTGGTGGTGAGGCTGCGGCTGGCGGGGCGCGGTCCGCCGAGCAAGCCGGGGAGCCGGGGTTCGGGCCACACACAGGCGACAGGTTTATGGATGCTCGTGGGTGGGCCGGAAGTCATAAATGGAATTAGCCACTGCTGGGCCTGCCAACGGAATCGGTGTCCTGCCAGCTCAGAGGACGAGCTGGGAGGACTCCCTGAGTCAGCCCTTTCCAGACAGGTGCTGGCGGCAAGTCCAGTGGGACGGCAGGTGAACGCTGAGGCCGAGAGTCTGAGGCTGTTCGCATCTGTGGAACACTGTAAGCTTTTCGGACCTCATATTCACAGCAGAGGGCCGAAGGGGTTATTTTATCGTTGACCTTTAGGATCACCATTTTTCATTATAAAAGTAAGTTCAACCACTTTGGACAATACGCACCTCTTTTTAAAAGTGTGATGGGATGCCATACCGAACATCTTTACAGCTCAAACCATCCTTTTTTTCTTTTTTCTTAATATGTGATTAATATGGTCCTATGAAACTAAGACCTATTAAACTCAAAGTTATAAAACTTCAATGTGTCCTGACAGATTCATTTTAAATAATATTCTCTTGAAAACCACATGATTCTAGAAATAAAAAGAAATTGGTTCCTCTAATTTTTTCCCTTTTCCAAGCCCCTTGTTCTACTTGACCTGATTGACCCTCGGTGCACATTCTGTGTGTGGATTTAAACACCCCCTGCTGGACTCTAAGCCCTGCAGAACAAGGGTCTGGTCCTTCCCTCCTGCTTAAATGCGCAAGGAATCCTTGTAACCGGGCTCCTGACCTGCACCTTTCTCATGGTGACAAGTGAAGACAGTGTCTGCTTGCAAATGGCATTGATCGCATTCCTGATTATGATCCAGAGATTACAAGTGGCTTCTTTTAATGAGGAAAAGACCTCTGTGGGTGAGTAATACTGTTAGAAAGGGTATGAAAACTATGTAGTGTTTTCATAATGTTCATTTCTTACAAACTTTTTAGAAGACCTTTTCTATGTATGGATTTCAAATTTTTGTCTTTTAATTCTGTTTTCCATGCCTTTTTTGAAGTCCTCTTATAGAATGCACAGTGGTGGGCCCGGCGCGGTGGCGCAAGTGGTTAAGTCCTCGCCTTGCACGCCCGGGATCCCATATGGGCGCCAGTTCTAATCCCGGCAGCCCCGCTTCCCTTCCAGCTCCCTGCTTGTGGCCTGGGAAAGCAGTCGAGGACGGCCCAAAGCTTTGGGACCCTGCACCCGCGTGGGGGACCCGCAAGAGGCTCCTGGCTTCGGATTGGCATAGTATCGGCCCGTTGCGCTCACTTGGGGAGTGAATCATCGGATGGAAGATCTTCCTCTCTGTCTCTCCTCTCTGTATATCCGCCTTTCCAATGAAAAAATAATAAAAATAAATCTTAAAAAAAAAAAAAAAAAAAAAGAATGCACAGTGGTGACCCTGACAACCTGTCATTCACAATTATTGAACAACTAAAGAGAAACCAAGGACCATCCCCAAACCTTCAACGGACAGAAGCCTGTCTCAGAACTGAGATGTCAGTTATGAGGGACATGGAGCTGAGTATTAAAATCCGCAGAATACCAGCTAAGCAGAGTACTTGATAAAATCGACCAATCAGGAGTCACTCCCCTCAAAAGTAAAAGATACAGACTGATACAGAGACATCGTTTTGAAAATAATTTTAACTTCTTAGAAAGTTGCGTTGGTTCACTTGCGTTTTGGTGATCTGCATGTCCTAAAGGATAGTAGAGGACTCACGTGGCGATGGTGACAGCGTCCTGCAGGGAATGCCACCCCGAGCCTCAGGCAGGCTCTGGAGCCTCCTCGCCCTAGCAGACCCAGCGCTGGCAGCAGGTGGCCCGAGGAACACAGCCACTCCAGACCATGTGTCTCACTTCTCGCCCAGGAAGAGGGGATTCCCTCCCTGCCATGGAGCTCAGAGTGAGGCTTAGATGAAAATCTTCACATTCTTTCCAGCCAGACAAATGCTTGGGAAGATTCTGCTCCACTCCCAACCTCCACTCTAGGTGTCAGGAGCAGTATGCCTGCAGTAGCATCTTAGGTATTGGCTAAAGGTCTCTTCAGAGCTAGGGGGTACTAGGATTTCTACTTAGGAGAGACAGTGGAGGGAAGGCGAGATAAAACCAAGAATTCAAAATACATTTGTTGAATAAGCACAGATTTCAGTTTTTGAGGGGCTGAGAGAGACAGCTCCTAACTGCCGGCTCACTTCTCAAACGCCCTGCAAGGCAGACAGGGTCCGGTCAACCCGAGCTGAAGCTGTGAGCTAGGAACTGAATGCCCGTCTCCACCATCACTTGCTATCTCCTGGGGACTTTGTTAGCAGAATGCTGGTACACGGAGCCGGAGCTTGGTGTGGCACACCAGTACTCCAATATGGAATGCAGACATCTTAATCTGCATCATGACTTCTGGATTAAAATGCCCATTATGCAATTACAGTTTTTATTTGGGAAGGCAATTACATCCTTGTAATGTCAGGATTTGCCCAGCCAAAATGATGATCTTTTTCCTCATGATACTGTTTTTTAATTTAATACACTTGTCTGTAGAGTGACAGCTTTGAGAAAATGGGGACTGAATTTGATCCATTGCTGTAAACCAATGGCAAGCACAGCATCTGATACTAGAAGGTGGTAGATTTTTCTGCAAGGTCAACAGTAATCTATTTTAAGATTCACATAATACCTACAGCTATGAGAAATGGGAGAAGTCTTTGAAAGGGAGACAAAAAAAGAGGTGTTTTTTTTTTTTTCTCTTAGAAGAGCCTTCTTAGTGAGGTTTTTCCTCATGAGACGTTCTCTCCACAGCCAGTGGATAAAGACAAAAAGAGATGGCCCAGATGAGATCAAAGACCCTGCAGTCTACACCCACATGGGAGACCTGGAAGAGCTCTAGGCTTCTGGCTTCTGACATTGGATTGGCACAACACTGGCCATTGCGCTCACTTGGGAAGTGAATCATCGGACGGAAGATCTTCCTCTCTGTCTCTCCTCCTCTCTGTATATCTGACTTTCCAATAAAAATAAAATAAATTTTTTAAAAAATGCATTGCGAAGTCTGCTGATATGTCCGGAAAAGGCTTTTTGAGTCTTGAAAAAGAGACATCTAGCAGTTGGGATTGTGGCACAGTCAATGAAGCCACTGCTTAAGATGACAGCAGCCCATAGAAGCATGCCAGTTCAAGTTCTGACTGCTCAGCTTCCAATTCAGACTCCTGCTAATTCACCAGGGAAGGCATTAGAAATTGGCTCAAGTATTTGGGCCCTGCTATCCATGAGGGAGATCAGAATGGAGTTCCTGGCTCCTAGCTTCGTATCAGTCCAGCTCCAGCTATTGTAGCCACTTGGGGAGTGAACCAGCAGATGAGGGATCTTTCTCTGTTTCTCCTTCTCTCCGTAAATTTGCCCTTCAATAACAATAAATAAATCTTTAAAAAAGAGGGAGAGAGAGAGAGAGAGAGACCCTCAATGAACTTCTGATCTAACCAAACTCGAACAGCTCTTCTAACATGAGATAATAAATCCCATTACTGTTTAGATCATGTATAGGGTTTTGAAAAATTTTTTGTAGCTAGAAACATACTAACTGATACACATTTCATCATCATCTTGTTTTGTTTGATATGCTGAGTACAAAAATAAAATGTGGTGTGGAAATCACTAACTTACTCCTTTGGGAGCAAGTTCTACAGTTTTCTAATCCATAAATTATTTTTGCTTTACCATGATTCCAGAATAATCTTAGACTAATGATACTAGAAGTTGATCAAATCACTCAGAAAATTGTCTATTAATGCATAAGATTATGTTCTCTGGGTGAGTAGAGACGCTCATGTGACATTTTTCAAATTGTTAAGAAAACAGCATTTATCCCAGTTGTAGGCAACTGACTAGGTTGCCTCGTACCAGGCAAGTGTTTCACTGCTGAGAAGCCAATAGCAGATGGGCATTCTATACCTGGTTAATGCCAAATTTGGGTTAACCACACCAGTGTGCCAATGGTTCTGGGGACAAGTTGGAGTGGGGACCACTCTGGCCACAGCGAAAACCATGGGATGCGTGGTCCAGCCTTGGTGTACATTACGGAGACTGAGCCTTCTCAGTTGCCTGTGCAATGGACAGCATGCCCAGATGCACACAGGGGTCATGATGGCCTTTGTAAAGTGACTAGGGTTAGATAAAGTCAATAGTGTGGGGTTCCCATAATGCAACTGATAGCTTTATGAAAAAGACTAGACAGTGGTCAGTAGATGTTTTTTTTAAAGATTTATTTTTATTATTTTTTTTTATTGGAAAGGCGGATATACAGAGAGGAGAGACAGAGAGGAAGATCTTCCGTCCGATGATTCACTCCCCAAGTGAGCACAACGGCCGATGCTATGCCCATCTGAAGCCAGGAGCCTCTTCCAGGTCTCCCATGCCGGTGCAGGGTCCCAAAGCTTTGGGCCGTCCTCCACTGCTTTCCCAGGCCACAGGCAGGGAGCTGGAAGGGAAGCGGGGCTGCTGGGATTAGAACCGGCGCCCATATGGGATCCCAAGCGTGCAAGGTGAGGACCTTAACCACTGCGCCACCGCGCTGGGCCCAGTCAGTAGATTTTACAGAGAAAAAGAGACACAGAAAGATCTTCCATCTGCTGGTTCACTCCCCAAATGGTCACAAAGATGGAGCTGAGTTGATCCAAAGCCAGGAGCTTCTTCTGGGTCTTCAACGTGGGTGCAGGGTCCCAAGACCTTGGGACATCCTCAACTGCTTTCCCAGGCCACAAGCAGGGAGCTGGATGGGAAGCTGTGCTGCCAGGATTAGAACTGGCACCAATATGGGATCACAGTGCATGCAAGG